CCAGGAGCTGGACACCTACAGAGCATATATGATTGTACCAGTCCTTTATATTCGGAATACTTTTCCCAGGTGGCTTCACTGACCCAGGTGATATGACTGATATCCATAGTAGTAATGCAAGTACCAAATACTCCAAGGTGACAACAACTCAAGCTCAAAAAGAGCTACCAGTATTATTGAATTTGCAAAGACATCAACTTACATTGACTAGTTTGTTGAACCAACATCAGAAAACTTGTTGTTAGAAAGTATTGCATACACAAACAGCTGAAAACACCTTCCTTTCGATGCTATATGAAGCTACTTATGCAAAATTTGGAAAGGAAGTGTTAAACCAAAACTTCAAACTGACCAGAGGACCTAAAGTCGCTATCTCATTTTGAATCGTTGGGATAAATCAGCCCACGCATTCACCACAAGAAAATGCATTGCTAAACAGAGGTATAAAATATATTGGACGAATGGAGATCACTGCTTATAAGCTCTTCCATTTCCATACAATGACTTTCGCTTCTCCCTCGAAACCAACAGAACAAGGAGCACATTCTCATCTCTCTCATTTACCATAGTTCACATGTTATGATCACCAATGTCCTCCATCAATGATTTGAGGTCTCTTTTCCTAGCCCAAACTCTCATTTGCCAAAAATAAGTAATAACTACTGAAAAAGCCGCCATAAACAATGAATCAATCAAAACCCTACACAATCCTCTAACATTATCATATTTTTGTGAGATCAACATCCCTATTAGATCAATCATTTTTACAGCATTGCAGTCTACATATACCACCTCTTAAGATCTTCTAACACCTCAAAAACCATTTCAAATACCTCAATATCTTATCTACGATTCGAAGTTCATCACTTTCAAGCTCAGTGATCACCATATCAACACAACAAAAACAGGTATGTATACATTACATGGTCTAGTAACTCACCTTAGGTTTACCCAACACCATTATTCACCAAATTATCAACAACAATTCATCAAAATACTTCAAAATCACAAATTATGCAGCATTTTAAACACCATCTAACAAAATCAAAGAAACTACTCATATTACTACATCATAACTTCAATTAAACCAAACAAACACAAAATGTATACACAAAAGAACAATAAATCATACCTGGCGCAAAACTACAGCTCTTTGATCAGGTGATTCTTCGATCTCAACAATGCGCGAAGCAGAGGATCCCTTCTCACCACCATTCTTCTTCTTCTTCTCAATCTCCTTCTTCTTCTTGTTATCACCACCAATAGTAGCCTTCCACGTGTAAACCCTCTTATCATCTTCCTTCCCTTTAATCTCAGTCATCCACTGATACTTTCTCTCTCCTCTCTTCCCTTTCTTGACATCATCCCCTTCAATCTCCGCCGTCCACTTGTACTTCTTCTCCACATCCCCTTTAATCTCAGCCGTAAACGAGTACTTCCTATCCAACTGTTTCAACTCCTGCTGCTTCTTCTTCAACTTCTTCTCCTTCTCCTCCTTCTCCTTTAACAGCAGAAGTCGGTCGAACTTCGACTCGAGCGAGCTGACTCGGTCTGAGATCTTCTTCAGGTACGACTCGGGCGAGTCAACTCGGCGAATGACTCGTTTGAAGGATGAGCAAAAAGGGGTTGATTCGATCTGGATTAGATCGGAGACTGAGTCAAATGGGGTGGGGAAAACGAGTTCGTCATCTTCTTCGAAGGGGATTGGAAGAGGAGGGAAAAAGGGGTTTAAGGAGAGGGATTTTGGGGGAATATGGTGGTTTCAGTGATGAAAAATGGGGATGATTGTTGGATGATTTCGAATTTTTTGTAGCTCATTTTTTTTTTCCAGAATTTTTTTCAGAGGATGAAGAAGTAGGAGAGAGAAAATGAAGATGAAGATAGATGATGATGATGATTGAAAGGGAAATGTAGCGAATTAATTGTGAGGGGAATTGAAGAGGAAAGAGAAAGGGTGGAGGGTAACTTGGGAATTTCATACTTGTTAACGAGGATTTCACGGCCAATTGATTGCAGATTTTTAAAGATTTAAAAAAAACACTCCTTTCATATTTATGTATTTTGTACTTCTCTTTGTCTCAAATTACTTATTCGCACTAATACACCTTATGTTATATTTGATCGATTGTAACATTTATAAGTGAGATAACATAGCTAATGCCTAATAATAAGTGAGATAACATGGCTAATGGCTAATGCCTAGTAATGTCTTTTGACTAAAGTGAATGTATATGATATTATGATTGAATAAGGGAGATTTCCGAGCAAAGCCTTCCAAAAGATTAGAAATGATATTAAGGATAAAAATGGATGTGGGTTGTGATGGCTCGAGCCTCCATGATTTGGAGTTAGCTAGGCTCAACCCATAAACTACGTGTTGTGAAGTGCTAAATGTTTCCAAATATCAGCTCATGTGAGACCTAAACTCATGTATCAGTCAATCAATGTACCACAATATTATGTTGTCATGCTATGTATGCATGTGTAAGTCATATTTCACAAAATTTGTACACTTTTGTTATGTTGTACCCTGTCTGATCATGCAATCTCGTGCTTCTTGCAAATAAAGGCTCTCCAATTCTAACACGTAGAATAATACCGAGTATATCCTACTCATGATATTTTTCTATACTAATACAAATTAGTGTCATTTAAATAAGAATAAGAGAATTTTCACTCCTCAACTCACAAGTTACAAGGACTCACAAGAGTCACAACCTCATATTCCGTACAATCTTTATCATTGCACCGATTACAATCAGAAAATTTGGCTTCTTTTTGCATTAGTAAAGGATATGATTCCTTTTCTTAATTTCTTTCTGCCTACTTTCCTTTTATGCCCTTTACGAAATTAAAAAGCTACATTTTCACATGTATATTTTTGGACGGTTGTGATGGAGTTGATGGAAACCAAGCGTGGGCCATGTGGGTATATCCGACAAATAATAGTTGTCTGAGTGGGGCCCTTTAATCTACTTTTATTTGAATTTAATATCCAATTCATACCCCTTTTATAAAGTATATTTGTGTTAATGTTTCTCTCTCATCATTAGGTGGGGATGTCTGATGTTTTGCTTGGTTTACGTCTTGATATTCCTTTGACTCATGCATCCTTAAATTCTAACTTCATTATTTGTGGATTTAATTCGTAAGTTTAGCCTTGTTTGGTTTAGTTTATTTAAGGCCTTGATTGACACTACTACACTACGCTCTTCCCCACTCTTGAAAGTCTTCTTGTGAATATGTGACTATGATTGTTATCCATCCTTATTCGATTACTCCAGTCAGGTGTATACAGTGGCGGACCCAGGAATTTCTAACCGGTGAGTCACAAACTCACAATCGATAACCAAATATGTAAAAAAATTTTTTTTTACCAAAATTCCCAAAAAAAAATTATTTACAAAGATCATCCAAATAGAAAATTGACAAGATTACAATACTAACTAACATTTAACAAGCTTAAAATTGACAAGACTAAAATTAACAAACTAATAATTTTTTTTTTTTTTTTAAAAAAAAAAAAAAGACTTAGAAATTTTTTTGGGCCCTGGTGAGTCATTTGACCCACCAGGCACAAGGCCAAGTCCGCCCCTGGGTGTATATACATAATTTCTAAAATATTTTTTACTTAGTCTGTAATTAATTTATTTAATCTAAATTTAAATGAATTTATATTGTCTAAACATTTTTTTTTGACACGAACTAAACGTATTTTTATAGTAAACTTGTTTGTGAATGTATAATAAGATTTATAAACCTTATTTATGAAGATTATGTACTTCTAACATATTCACAAACAAGTATTAAAATACACGGTTTAATAATCCCCTATCACAGAAAAGGATCATTAGAATCTAAAAGTTTGCCTCTTACAGGACCGGACTAATAGATAAGGATAAACCAGTACAACTAAAAAAAAAATAAAAATTACAAAATAAAGCTTATCAAGGAAGCTAAACTAAAAAAAAAAAAAAAAAAAAAATCAGAAAAATAGAAACAAAGACCAAAAATAATATGACCCATGAGGTTTGCCGACAATCAAACGGAGGCCGAGACATGGTGAAGGCGACGAAGGCAGCGAAATCGGTGGAACTAAGGCTTTTCAAAATCCACCGACTTGAACCCTAGAGGCGGAGGCTGCATTGGCGAAGGGCCGACATCAGCAGAGGCTGCGCGTCGACGGCAGCGACGAAAGCGACGGTGGCGACGACAAAAGCAAGGAATACATGCTTCAAATCAAGAAAAAAAGAAGCCAAGAAAGAGAGATCATAGGAGAAGAGGAGAAAATAAAAGAGGGAGATTAGAGGAGAGGAGAATCTGAAAGAGAAATCAAAGAAGAAAAACAAAGGAGGTGGATTTTAGAGAGAAGGGAGAGCCCTTCTCTCTACAAAAGCCCCACGTATATACGTACTATTTTTAGACAATTTAATTGACTTAAATAAAATAAGAGGTAAGTAGGGTAGTTGAAATATTAAAAAATTGTAAAAGAAATATAGCAGAATTAATAGTTTATTGAAAAGTAATGAATGTGGAAGGAATGAAATAATAATAAAAAAGTAGTAGTGGGATTGGGTGGGGACTAAGAAAGAAGAAAAATATAATACTAAAATGTACTTTTTTTTTTTTTTTTTTTAAGCTAGAGTTGGATTTGCACATTTGCCGATACACAACTTTGACCATCAATATCTTTAATTAGAGGTTAGTAAAAATTATGAAAAATTAATTTATTAAAGTAAACATTGTGACAAATCCAACAACATATTATATGATCATATTTATATATTATATATTGGTAAAAAAATTAAGTCAATGATGACATATGAATAGTGGAAAATCTCAACTCTAACTTATAAAAAAAAATAAAATGGAGGGATATAAAAAGAAAGTGTAACACTTAGCTTATTGTCAAAAAAAGAAAGTGTAACACTTACTTTATTCGTTATTTTTTTATTGCACCATGAGTGATTTTACGCTTGCCAATGCATTACTTTACCTATTAATATCTTTATTACACGTTCGTAAAAATTATAAAAATTTGATTTTTGAAATGTAGATTTCAAGACGAATCTAACTAGATCTAACATAACTATGTTTTTCCTTATAGATAAATCACAAATGATGGTTAAATAACATTATGTGAATAGTGATAAAGGCTTTATGGTGCAATAAAAAATACGGAGAAAATATTTAAATACAGCTGCGTTTAGTAGGTGTAAGTGTGTAACACTTTAAAAACACGGAGGGAGTACCAGTTCTTAAAATACCAATTGTCTGATTGTCTCACATGAATTGTAAAGTTGTAACCTGTTAAACTAATTAGACAAAAAAAAAAAAAAAAAAAAAAAAAAAAACAAAAAATAGTAATAATAAAAAAGTTTTACCCCCCAAAATCAAGAAAGTTAATCTAATAGGGGATGCAAAACAACTTTGTTGCGATTGAAAGAAATCATCGAGGTCCCATCTTTTTTCTGCAATTAGAAATTTAGAATTACCCTTCTTTCGCTGTAATAATCTCTCTTATGTCATAGGTTTGTCATAAAATACAAAGAAAACCCAGTTAATTTTGCAACATGCTCAAAAAATTCCTTAACGTTCAACCTTCTGAGCTCAAATTCCCATGTAAGTTCCTCCAATTTTCTTTCTTCTTAAATCTTTCTCTTTTTTATCCTTCTATAGTCAATCGTATTAACTTACATTGTTCTTGTGTTGTTCTGCATTGCAAAATTTATTGGGGTTTTTCCAGTTCAATTGAATAAGTTGAGTATAGTTTGGGTTGAATTAACCAACAAAATCGATCATAATGTTGTCTTTAAGGTACCCTTTTCCTTAAATTTATGAACTTTTTGTTAAATTCTGTGTTGGTGTGGTTTAATTTATTGGTTTTGTGAAATTTCAAGGTTAAAACAACACATCCCAAAAAATATTGTGTTCGTCCCAATGTGGGTTTGATCTCTCCTGGCTCAACCTGTGTTGTTAAAGGTAAATTTTCTATTGTGGTTAATTTATGCAAATTTTGGGTTGTTTGTAAAATATGCTGATTAATTAGAGTGTTATTATGTACATTATTTGCCCGAGCGTACTTAGCTCTAGGTACACCCAAGGCTATATGCAAGCTTTTGCTCGGCTCTAGCTACACTCGGGTGTATAATGAATTACGCAAAACATTACAATTCCAAGTATACAAGTGCTTAATTCAACAATGTGTCTGTTCTTGGTTACTTATTTGATGTTGACATTGGGTGTTATTTAGTTAGTATGCAAGCTCAAAAGGAGTTTCCTGTTGGTTTGCCAAAGGACAAGTTTCTAGTCCAAAGTATGATAGCACCAGTTGGGTTGAGTGCTGAAGCTATTACCTCTGATATGGTATGAAATCAAATTTTTCTTAGGTTGATAAATTTTTCATTGAGGATTATTAAGAAACAAAAATGATAGAAACGGTGTTGTGAGTTTTCACTTAGTGTGTATGTGTCATGTCTGTCGTTGTAGTTCAGAAAAGATAAAGACAATGATGTTGAGGAGTTAAAGTTGAGGGTTGCCTTTGTTACTGCAAATCCACCATCCCCTATTCCCGAAGTTTCAGAAGAAGATTTTTCTCCTGAAGCAAACAAGCTTGAGAGCCCGGATCACAAAAATCATATTATGGAATTATTTGATGCTGTATGTGCTACTTTCTGCTGTAAGAATTTATTTCAAAATGCTACTTCTTGTGCATTTTGGTATCCTCAGGCTATCTTACAAGCTTTGGTAATTTAATTGTGTGTTTCAGGCAACAAGTGGATGTGAGCTCCAGGATCAATCCTCCAAGGTTTAAAATCTTGCCACTTTCTTAATTTTACATCAAAATTGCTTGATTGAAGCTGTAAGGAATTCCGTGTTTGAAGCTTTAAAAAGTCACACATTATCATCTTGTGATTTTCTTAGTATTTTATTATCTTAAATCATCAGTCATTAATCACTTGTTAGGAGGAGTAAATGGGGGCATGTCATTCCTTGTGGATTCGTTAGGAGGCCATTTCCATTAATTCCACTTCCATCTTGTGAAATTGAGTGTAGACCAATAGAACAGGTGTAGCTGTGAAAGCATGCTGGTGGAAACCAAGGCTAAACGCCTAAACTCATATGTTATTTACGCCATTCTGATGTTAACACTAGTGATAAAAGTCATAATATAGGTCCCCTTCTCAATTCTCATTAGCTCTATTTTCCTTGCTGGATTAGTTTCTCCTTAACATGTCATTTAAATCAATGAAGCAATGCATGATTAATTGTATTGCTGTATCTAATCAGGAATCAAACACTGACACAGAGGACGAAGATCAATATTTCAAGGTAATTAGTCTTTCTGTCTTGCAATTGTTAGTTAATGCTCATGATGTAAAACTCCATTGGCGATTTGGCGGTGTACTATGACTCCAAAGTCGGTCATGCCTTTCAGACTTATAGTTCTTTGTTTTTGATGCTTCCCCACTTTATTGCCTTTACATTTTAAATGCTTGGGTCATGTGGTTGAATATAGTTTCAGCCAAATGTTTAAAATATTTTATTGCATCATGGATGTCACTGCAGAATTAACTCTCTGGTTTTTAAATTCAGGATTCAAATTCTACATTTGAACCTGAGGAGAAGCTTTCTCAGGTACAATTATTTGAATATTCTTGATCTTAACTCTGCATATGGAAGTAGCCTTTTCTCTTACTACCACTTCTTTTATGGCATACCTAAATTGCAAATGATCATAAAAGTCATCATTAAGTTATTGCTTATCATGATTCCTGTAGAATTCCATCACTTCTTCTGGGTGAGCTGTGTATGGTATTTAGAGTTGATATCTGTGACCTTAGCATCATTTAGTTTACTTTATTATTTGGGAGATTACCAACCTTCGCATATTACTGGATGTTTAATGGAAAAGAAGTGTTGATCAACAGGTAATCTCTCAAGTTGGTTGATCTTTAAATTAATTAATCCACAAAGCCAAATGGAAACGCTAAAATCTTAATGGGTGACTTAATTTTTATAAGCTTCCGCTTATCAATCCATTGTAAGCTGATAATACCTGAATGCAAGTTCTAACTCTCTAATGATTGCTAAGATCTATTTAAGCTAGTCATAACTCATAAGATTTGAACTTTAAACCATTACATAAAAATAAAAATTCTTAATATATTTGCAGATACACTTTTAGATTCGTGTTAAATGGTAGTGGACTAGTGGTGTAGGGTCTTTTGCTCATAATTTAAAAGATAATTCGAAAGTATTTTATTCTCTGCAGTTCACAGCCGCTGCAGGTAATGGACTATCCACATTCCACAATCAGGGTAGTTAGAGAGAGTGTTAGTCATGTGATTGACATGCCGTATTTAGGTTGGTGTAGGGCCTTTTGCTCATAATTTATAAGATAATTCGAAAGTATTTCCTTCTCTGCAGTTCACAGCCTCTGCAGGTAATGGACTATCCACATTCCACAATCAGGGTACTTAGAGAGAGTGTTAGTCATGTGATTGACATGCCGTATTTAGGTGTATTCCGAGGTATTATTGCACAAGGATGAAACTAGTGTTGTTGATAATCATGGGCCAGAAAGAGTGAGTGCTGAGGATGAGGTCTGTACTAACATTTTAGGTTAACTTAAGTTAAAGTGAAGTCAAATTTTAACAATATAAAAAAATAGTTCATGTCTAGTAAGTTAATCTATATACGTCTATTCCCAGCTGAACTTGATATCATCTCGTAAATGCATATACCTTCTTACTATTGTGAGTTGTGACACAATTCCAGAAGAAAGTATAATTACTTTGTAAAAGCTCATCTAGCAATCTCTTTCGTTCATGTTCCTGATTTCTTCCAATTATGAGGAATTTGATGACCTTCATTTCCTGTTTTATAATTGGCAAAAATTGACGGTATGCTAATATGCTATAGAAGGCAACCAAATAAATGTGGTTAAGCTATCAGAAATTCAGAATTTGCTGTGAACAAAGTATATGAAAAACTTTCTTTTATGTGTACTAATAGATGTATAGTGTATCATGCATACGATTCGCACAAGCTTATGCTTCTTATATCATGCATAAATAATTAATGACCTAAATAATGTCTACAGTTGATGTAAAAATATTGGATGGTAAAATGTTTCAGGACTGGGATAGGGTTTGTCAGCTTATCGGCGAAAGGACTTTCTTGATGCAAGAAAATCAGGAGCTGCAGTACGAAGTGGTTTGTCTTGAAATCACTCCTTTATTTTTTCTGTTTCGGTCTGTGTCATCAGCAACTTGTTTTACCTTTGTTGCGTTGTTGCTATATGATCTAATTTAGTAGCTGGGGCTTACAATTTCTCTAAAAGATGCAATATCTATTATTCAATACCATATAAACCAAGTTCCAATGCATTATGAGTTTCTGTTATTTCTAACAGTTTAAAAACAAGCATTTGTTGCGGCTTGTTTGCGCTGAGATTTGCATATTCTGTCCCTTTCTTCTGTAGTACTACCTATGCTAGATATTCCATATTATCAACTGATTCTTCTGAAATTTAACCTATGTTGAAATAAATAAAGTCACCAGCCTCTTGAGAAATTTAGACTGAAAATTTCCTTGCAGAAAAAACATGTTACATCTTTGGCCAACATGATTTTATTTTTTGAACAGGAAATGATTAGGAAGCAAATCTTCAGGAGCACTAGCAATGGTCGTAATATAATTCCACTCATGCTGTTAGCCTGCTTCCTTGGCTTTCTTGTCGGGTATGTGATTAAGTAGCCTTCTGCAATCCCGTAGGAAATCTTGCCATCACCACTGTGTATACAAGCGACAACTTGTCACTTATTTATCTTGATGTAGCTAATCAGCATTTTACTGTTATCCTTTTTGACTTCTGATTAATGATCAAAGATCGAGGTTCTCTGAAAGGTTGTTACTTACTTTCTGCTTTTACTTTATCTCAATTGTAAAGAATATGCCCATGTTTTTAAAATTTTGTTACCAAGTGATCGGGATCCTCTCAACATAAATAAGTACCAAAATTTTGTGTTAAAACTTTCGTTATATAGACAAAGAACATCAGCAAAGAAAAACACCTTAAAGAATAACATCAACATTACATAACAAGATTTTTTCTATAAAAATTCTTCTAATTCCTAAATAGGTAATGTATTTTAAGTAGGAGTAAAACATACAGCAGGTGAATGATAATCTGGAAAATCAGGAAAACCTGCCATCAGAGAAATGATCCCTATTCCTATCAAACCACCCCAGAAAAAGAACCTGAAACAGCAGTGAGTATTACTGGTAACATAATCTTCGTCGTCGTCATAATCCTTTTCTGCCTTTTCTCTGTTGTCATCCTTCCGATCAATTACCCTGATTATTTCCACCTCGTCCTTGATCATTTCGAACTTTCCAACTTCATCCTGTTCATCAGAAACGCACTTCTCTGCATTCACTGCCCTGTTTTCAGCATAATCATCAATATTAACCAATTCCTGACCTTCTTGTTTCCCCTCGTCTTCCTCGTAAAGCCCTTCAAATTCCATTAATCTGTCTTGATCATCGTCTGCAACAAACTCAGAATTCTGATACAACTTGAACCCCACCAGAGGAAAATTTTCTTCCGATTCATGATCAAATTTATGCACTTCTTCATGATCAAATTTATGCACTTCTTCATGATCATCTTCTTCATCAATACAAGAATCAGAGTTGGAACACACAGGGGGCTCCGCAGAGACCGTGAATGAGGAGGTTGGACGGGGCTTGGTCAATTTGCGAATGACAGACTGCATTGTCTGAACCCGACGAACAATCTGGTCCAAGTGATTTACATCTTCCTGGCCTAAACCCGAGTTTTGATTTGAGGCAATTTCAGCAGTAACAAGATTGTGGATGAATGATAAATTATAGTCAATCTCACCAGGAACAAAATTGTAGGGTGTTGTTATGTCGCTATCGTGCGATTCAGAGACTAAAGGAGTGATTTGGGACTCCAAGTTATCAAGTTTCTTATGCCACAACGAGTATTTCTTCTCCATCTCTTCTCTGGCTTTAACCTTCACTTGATCTTTTTTGTTGAGGAAAACCTTCACTTGATCTTGTTGCTCTGTTTTTCTTTTTCTTTTTTTCCCTGAAGGTGGTTATATTGGAATTGATAGGCGGTTAAAGTGACGGTCGAGATTTTAGAATTCGTGGCGCCAAACTTGGTAACTGTCAATATCATTATCTAGTAACATTTTGTTTTTTGGGCCAGAATTTAGTTGTGGCCCGTTTAAGGTGAGAAGGGTTAGCCCATTAGAGTATAGCCTAGTCCAAACCTCTAATCAATTTTTTTTTTTCAAAAAATAATTGTCCTTACAGTAATCCGAGCCAATAACTAGTTGAGTCATAAGCTAGATACAGGTGTCGTCGTTGTCGACATACACAAGGTGACGAGTATCCTACACTCCTATATTGCGTCACATACTTAGAAGCGGTATGTAACATTTAAAAAAAGACTAAGATGTATACGTATACACGGGTGTACAATAAATACAATGCCTAATATTTGCTCCATATTGATTGAGAATTCAAATTAGATAAACTCATAGAACAAACAAGTACTACTTTAAATATTGTAAGGAGTATATCATTAATTCATCATCAATGTGACATTGTACAAAACATCTTTTGAACTAAATTTGACAAAAATTCTAATTGTACTTCATATTTATACATCAAACACAGAAAATAATCATGTCAGGAATATATGGAACAAAATTAAGGGGAAGGGGTTGAGATTAGGAAGAAGAGATTGATGATCTTAATTATGAGAAGGCGGTCTAGACCTCGGCTTAGGGTAATCTGAGTAGATCCCTGGATAATGAGCATGGTGTTTGTTAGAAACATGCCAAGAAACAACTGATTTCTTCAAAACAACTGAATTTGCTTGTCTTCTATTCATCATTTGGTTCATTAATAATCCTCTATATTTTCGTGGCCTTTGTTGAAAATTTGTAACTTCATGAGTTAGCATTTCCTCTTGTTTGTCAATAGTAGCCAACTTCTCTCTAATACATCTCTCTATTACCTGCAATTTTTTTTAATGAACATACTATGATTAGTTACATTTATTTACAAAAACTACGTACTCTCGAACATTAAAAATTTAAATGGGATGCAATTCAACCTTAAGTTTGACACTTTACTAAATTTCAAAGATTCACCCATTTTCGTTATGTGTTGAGAATTCGATTCTTATCTGATAAACATTTAAAAAAAAAAAAAAAAAAACCACCCAAAATTATGTTTTTAAATACTTCATATTTGGATGCCATTTCTTAGAGAACTTACCAACTAAACTTATTTCAAATCTAAATTTTTTATTTTGTACTACTCGTGTAGTTTTTAAATATTAGTTCAACTATTTTCAAAATTATTGATTCAAGTAATAAATAACTACTCCAATGGAGAAGGATTAAGTGAAAAACACTAACCTTAAATGATTGGCGAATTGATGAAACTTCAGTATTAAACCCAAAATGACGAGCTATACATGCATTAACCAAAAGAAAGAAAACCAATGTGCTAATGAGGAGTTTAATCGCCATGATAATCTCCGAGATTAAGGATGAGATTAAGCTAACTCGAACGAGTATCAAAACTAATAGCTATATATATAATTATACCAAGAAATGAAAACACGAATGTAGAAATTGGACTTAGGATATAGCTATATATATAATCATACTTTTTTTTTTTGTTAAAAGGAGATTAAAAGTACATCTATACATATGTAGGCTTAGCTAAGATCAACAAACATATAACTATAAAATAATTACTTTTAATTAATGTATTTATAATCTATGTCTTCTAAAATTGTAGGCTTCAATGAAGAACAAGACTACAAGAAGAGCACTTTTTGTGCGGATGTTGTCGTTGTGTTGTGCTTGTAAATTGTAAAATAAGAAACATGAATATTAGTATTCAATTTACATATATATTGAGGATGTATTGTGGAAATTATAGGATATATTTTGTGACCATATTTTATGGTTAGAATATCTTTTGGTTATCTTTTGTTAGTTTCTTAATTCTATCTCATGAGGGTAAACTTTTATTATATATATGTCATGGCAGCCATCAATGAGATTCAAGCTATTATGTTCATTCAATTTAGCATGGTATCAAGAGCAGGTTAAATCATGGTATCAAGTTCAATGGTGGACGGCAGCAATCCACCGCCACCAGATTATGAGTGCAATAGTAGTGCTACATCCGCCAACAATCAGATTATGAGTTCGAGCGGCCAATTATTTCCAAGTGAACAATGGCATACAATTACAAGTTTGGCGGGTAATACCAAAATTTTCGAAAATTGTTCGAATAATAAGTTTGATGATATCTCTTGAATTATTGATACAGGAGCCACGCATCATGTTACAGGAGAAAAATCTTGGCTTTTTGATACAAAGAGCTTTGAATGTCCTGTAGGGTTATCGAACGGTGAAACAGTGTTGACTTCTCTTATTGGTTCTGTTCGTTTGTCGGACAAAATTAAATCACTCTAACTGGGGTGCTCTATGTCCCTAAATTGAGTTGTAATTAACTTTATGTTTCAGAGCTTAATGATGAGCTTAATTGTATTGTCCAATTTAACTCATATATGTGTGCTATACAGGATCAAACGAAGGAGTTGATTGGAACGGGAGCTCGGAGGGACGGTTTGTACTATTTTAGCAAATTGGATTCCGTGCATCATGTGGGTGCTATTGACGCAAGGTCTAATTTGGAGCTATGGCATCGTCGTATGAGTCATCCTTCCGAGAAAGTAGTTAAGTTGTTTCCTACTGTTAATTTCCACTACTAGAAAATAGGCCGATTTCGACGAAAAATTCCGTCGAAAAACCTGTTTCCGACGGAATTCCATCAGAAATGGTTGTCGGAAACCCTTTAGTAGGAAAAACGACTTTTTCGATGGAATTTCCGTCGAAAACGGGTTTTCCGACGGAATTGTTCCGTCGGAAGCGGAATTCCGGCACCGGAAAAGTCCGTCGAAAATTCGACGAAATACAAATCCGTCGGAAAATTCCGACGGAATTCCTGTCGGAAAAGTCAATAAAAAAAAATAAAAAAAACAGCTCCCACCAGCTTACACCACCAGCCCACACTAGCCCCCCTAACCTGAACCCACCCACCAGACCTGCCTTACCTTAACCCACCCACCCTGTCTACCTTGACCACAACCCTCTTCCACCACCCACACTATAAAATAAAAAAAAAAACAACAGAAAATTCAAAAAACAGAAAACTGTCTACCTTGACCACCACCACCACCACAACCCAGTACCCCCACCCTAACTGAACCTAGTACCCCCACCTTAACCGAACCCAGTACCCGGATCTACCACCCAAACACACCCAAACTAAACCCAGATCTACAAACCTAACCAAACAACCACCCAAAAATTAACAAAAATAATAATAAAAAAAAAACAATCAAAACCACCACTTCTGCCGAAAAACTTACAACCCAAAATTAAAAAAAGAAAGAAAATTAAAATCAAGAAAACATACCTTAACACCGAAATTGGATGTTAATTTCTCATTGAATTTGGTTTAATACGACCAAATTCGATCATGAAACCTCTAGATCTAGAGGTTTTATGATCGAATTTGACCTGAATAACCATGCGACGCCGGCGAGAAGGAAGACAGACAACACCTCCAAGGAGAGTAGGTTGCGTAGTGGTGGTGGTGGTTGCGTAGCGGTTGTGGGTTTTGTTGTTGGTGTGAGAAGGAGAAGGAGAAGTGAGAAGAAGAAGAGAGGCGAAGTGAGAAGGAGAAGAGAAATGACGAGAATGGCAGAGGAGAGAGAAGGAGGGAGGAGAGAGAAGGAAAGAGGAGAGGAGTTCAGAGAGAAGCGGAAAGAGGAGAGGAG